AATACGTTTCAGATTGTCAGCCGACAGCTGCCCCCTCCTAGTGCTATGTTTCAATTAAAGCTAAGTTTCTAGTTTTTTAGTTTTGCTAGTTGTTTGTCTTAACGCAATTAATTTTAGAAGCCCTTTCTATCGTTTAAATCCGCTAAACCTAGCAAACATAAAACGGTATATCGCTATGTAAACAGGATATTTTCTGAGCCCCGCTTGTAAGGCCTTCGTCCATATAAAAGATGGATTGAGGTGGAATGAAAACACGTAATACTTTAAGTGCGAAATTAAGAAACATGAAATAAGAAAAACGTCAAGAAAACAGCAAAAGGAAATACACAATAAACAAGACAAGCCCTCTTACAGGCAACTCTCTCTAACTTATTTGTCGTCACATTCCAGACATTTTGTGTAGAGGCCACTCAAATTCCTTGAATAATAAAGAGTCACCTATCCTACGTGACATTTCAAGTAAGTGTCTACCCCAATCTATTTCGCCCAATTGCATACATGTAGTGTGAAAATAATAAATGAACACCGAAATATTCTGCCATGTTAAGATGTGTCTTTTAACACCTTGAGCTCTTTAAATTCCAGATGTGATCAAACTGTAATTTCTCGATAAATTCCAACGCATTTACAAGCAGGAACTGGAAGGTAACGAGAATAAAGAAAATCATCAATCTTCTGTGACATTGTCTTGATGCAGCGCCAAGTTCTTAGAACTGGCATTAAAATAACTGTATGTTAATAAATAAAAATAATTAACTTTTTTTAAAATTAAACTTGGGACTGACAGAGCGATCATCTCTTAAATATCTTCCTAGAGCTTCGCAAATTCATCCTCATTGTCAATTTTCAACCCTCCATTGATGCCTTATTGAAAACTTTCGTGATGTTTTATGTAAAGGCATAAAATTGACCTTTTTGGGGAGAAATTGGATTTTGAGCCCTACAACAACAACAGCAACAACAACAACAGCAGCAATGCTTTATTCACTCTAGACACTTAATACACATTTGCATAGAAAATTACAAAAGCTTACAGTGGCAAAATATATGTGCTTAAAGTCGAGCCAGGGGGATAAATAAACCTTGCGGTTTCTGACTTATCCCCCTGCTTTTTACGTGCAAAACAAAATAAGCGCCTGTTTACATGGAGAGAGGGTGCCCCGGCTAACCGGGCTACCCAGCTAGAAGGGTTGACACATAGCCCGCCTTTACATGCAAATCACCTAGCAGGGAAAGTGAGTGAGCCCCGTGGGCTCTCATTGAGCGGCCGCTAAGCACAACAAACAAAATGACCGACCAAAGAAACTTTTTGGCAGCTAGTTTAATTTTTTTATCGCTCATTGCGCTAGCGGCCTCTTTTCAGTGTACAGGACTGTTGTTAATGGTAACTACGAAAAAATTC